TTATTATTATTATTATTATTATTATTATCGATATTGTTGATATTCTTCTTATTTTGTTTTTGTTTTTTATTTTCTGCTTTTCGCTTTGATTCTTTTTTACGATGATACGAATTGTATTTACAATTGCTGCCAAATTATTAATATGCAGAAAAATTACTGTGTGCTCTTCAGTCATATTTGATTTATTGATGAAAACCCAAAGTGCAAGTGTTTTCAAACGCTAAACACTGTAAAATTGGGCAACAGATATTAGACTACCATTGTGCCGTGTTATTCGTTTTCGCTGAGACAAACTAATGTAGCAATCAACGTGAATTTTTTGTAGTCACTAATAAGAAGAAAAAAGAATGAAGCTAAAACTGATATTTTGAACACAGATTTTGCTAAAAATAGTCTTCTTCTTCCTCTTCTTCAAAAAAAGCCTATCATAACCTTACAGAACACTATTGTCTGATCGTCATATTAATATTTTTGTTTAAGGTACCAATAAAGAGCAGCATTCTGATTTTTGATCTATAAAGAGAATTTTTTTTTTATCAATTCACTGCTCTTCTGTTGAAACTTATGCTGATGGAACATACGTTACCTTAGTCATGTCTCTAGTATAATCTCAAAAAGAAAAAAAAAAAGAAAAAACTTTTTTTTCAACAGCCAAAAGAGCTCGATTGAAGAATAGTTAATCGACTGCTTCTAAGCTTCTGCTGAACAGCAACCAGAAAACAATAGCAACAGCAAGCAAGCTAATATCAACAATAACAACAACAACAACAGCAATGACAGCAAAACCCTGTTGTGATTGATATGAATTAAATCTTTAGCAGCAAGTATACCTAGTTAAAACTTCAAAGAAATTTTCTTTAAAATAAAAAAAAAAAACCAACTCTCCAAAAGTTCTGATTGAATTAAACACATAACCGCAGCTTTTTGTTCAACTGGTTAACTGATAATCGTCACTGCAGTGTAAACGTGAATAAAACATTTATTGAAGCAGTCAATAAACTGCAGATAATAGTATTCTTTATCATTTTTACAGATGAATCAATTTCAAGCCAGAAAAACGCATAAATTAACAGCTTTTTCTTATTCAAAATATGTACTCTAAATAATTTTTTTATTTCTCATCAAATTTTTTTTTTTCATTTTATTGTGAATGATCTAAAAAATTTGATTTTTTTTTTTCTTGACTTAAAAGACATAAGACAGAAGAGGTAAAGTAAGTAATAAACTTACGTTTTACGCTTACAAACAAGCAAATTTATCAATCTTTTCAACAAAGAAAAAGATTTGCCAATAGTAAAAGCCATTTTCAAGTTAACTGTTTACAAAAGTCACTGATGCACTTTAGACATAGTCAGACTCACATGACTTCAGAAAATTGTTCAAAAACGATCAAAAAGAATAATGGTTTTCCTGTTGTACCTCAGCCCGTTATAAGAGTGTTTAAAGAAAACAATAAAAATATGTTTCAAATGATAAATTTTCAAATGAAACTCACTGAATCTTGACCTATCAGTTTTGCTACCACGAATATATTGCGGTCGTGAATATGAATGTTTAATTGCATCAGCTTCTGCAGTTTCTTGATCCAGAATTTCCAGATAGGCTCCAGATTGACAGTACAATGCACCCTGTACACTGTTGTCGCAGGTCCTGGAACGAATAATAATAAGAATTTTTTTTTTTTGGCTAATCAGAGGTTTAAAAACATAAAAAAAGCTCTATTCTGTTTCAATTTTACTGTCAACGACTACTAAATTCTGCACAGTACCGCCCAACAAAACGCGGCTTCTGACGGTTTTTCTATAACTTTCTTCCACAGAAACACAAAAAAATATTTTAAATTTTTAAAAATAATCCAAAATTTTCTTGCTCAATTGCTTCAGATAACGTCTTGAACAAAATAAGTTACCAAATTAATACAACTTTTTTATTTTGAGTACTGAAAAAGCTAAGACATTGTAAAGCGCTAGAAACTAAACTTTTCAATTCAAAGACTATTGATCAATCTTTCTAATTAATTCTCACAAAAAAAAAGAAAAAATTAATAATATAAATAAATAAGTGAACAACCCAAATTTGTTTCTGTTTATGTATAATATCTTAAAGAATAAAGAATTAAAAGTTTAATCTCACAAAAAACACACGTTCTATTTTCTCTGATCACAGAATTATCTGTCGAAAAATTAATTGATAACGGAAGTCAAAAGCAACAAAAGCCCCTGTTTAACCATACACACACACACACAAAAAAAAAATACAAACCATCAGATCGAAGAAAAAAGCAGTAATCACTCAACTGTAGCTTAATGTTAATGACACTTGATAGAGCAGCATCGTTTACCCGAAATAAGAAAAAAAAATAAGAAAAGCAAAAAAACTATTCTATTAATTGAAACGTTCATTAAAAACTGCTATTGCTTTGGAGTAAATGAGAAGATGACAAGTTTATTACGAGAAAATATCAAAGATTATTTTAGCTTTACTTATGCCTTTACCGTTGCTTGTTGCGGCTTGTAAACTTTTTCCTACTTTCAAATAATTTTTATCAAATTTCAAAAGAACTTAACCACAGTAAATTGAAAACTATAAGGAAAAAAAAAAACAAATGAAAGCGAACAATACTGAAGGAAAACTGATATATGAGATAATAGACTAAAAAAAGTGCTGTGTCAGAATTTGCACTTAAACATAAATCTTGCCACAGACCAGTTGAAAAGAACCTAGACAATAAAAACACATAAAAACATAATGTCTAACTAACCGATGATTCGGATTACGAATTCTCGGATGACCAATACAGTTTGGAATCAAATGTGACTCTAAATACGGCTGTGGATCATAATGTCGTAATGATGGAGCTGATTGTATCAGCTGATGTTGCTGAAATGACGATGTACCACCGCCAATTGCTGCGTACATATCCAACGGCATTAGATTGTTCATAACAACAGCAAGAAGGAGTAGATATGTTGACACTATTGTATTAGTACAAAGTAGACAGTAATAGATACAGTAACTATTAGGAATAGTATTTTTGGTGTTGTTGTGCTGTTGTTTTTTATGCAAGTTCGAAGGTTCGTTTTTCAACTTTATAACGGAGTTGAAAAAGAAACTCATAAACAAAAATATTAATTTTCTTGCTTGTATTTCTTTATCTTATATATTTGCTTTTGAATCGTTTCTTCACCTCTCTTTCGCTGTCGTCCGTATTAGTATAACTATGTAACTTTTCAAGCAATGTTGTCCTTTATCAGACGTCTGAGTAACAGTAAAAAGTGAAAAATAAATAGAAGTTTTGGTCTCCCAGGATTGAGTTGTTTATTTTTTTTCAATGTCAGGTGAGAAAAAAAATATTTGAACTCTTTTCCAGACTTTTTCCAACAGCAAGCAACGGTCAGTATTTGGGTATTTTAAATAAGTAAAGAGAACAGACTTGTTGCAGTATTAAAAAGACAGTGAATAACTTTGTACGACAGGATGTGACAGATCCCGTGACGAAGTATTATTGGCACAGGAGAAACAGGTGAAGAGTACGGTGCGGTAGCGCAAGCCCGAAGGCTTGCACCTGGACGGCGGTACAACCGTAGAAAGCTTTCTTTTGTCTTCAGGTTTTCTTTCGTCTAAGAATTAGTTGAAACAGTAAAGGTAAGCAAAATCGATCCACAGAAATTTCGCGCAAACGTTCAAAATTATTGCTCACCAATTGTGAATCCAGGTTTATTCCATTCAATAAGATACAGTGTGTAATTATTCTGAAACAAGTAAACAGAAGAAAATTTGTCCTCATTGGGGATTACTGTATGCTTTCAGCGCTCAATGCT